CTCTTATAAAGACTCTGTGATTAAACTGGACCCACTCAGATCCAGCATACCCTCCTATCTTAAAACCCTTAATTTAATCACCTCTGCAAAGTCCTTTTAGATATGTAATATAACATATTCACAGGTTCCAGGGATTCAGACTTGAACAACTTTGAGAGGCTACTATTTGGCCTACCACATACAACTACCCAGAGCCTAAAATTGCAGACTTGAAAGACTTGGGTAAGCCCATTAGAAAGAAACAATATTAGCAGCTAACTTTTAGAGTGTAGTGGACCTTCAAGCTACGACCAGCCTGATGTATGAACAATCTGGGTTAATTAGGTTAATGGAAGATTCATCTACCTCTTGTTATCTATACCATGTACCCAGGTAAACATCTAGATCTTGGCTGTACTGACTTACAACCAACTTGGGTTACAATCAGCCCTCGGGATCTGATCGAGTTTGCAAGCCAAGGGTCCACTGTACTGTACTCAGTATGTGCTTGGCACTATGGAAAGTACTTTAGGTATGTTATCTCTGTCAGGCCTCATAGTAACCCTACAAAATTACTTCTACCATCTTACAAAATGGTTCTTTGTCCAAATTTGTAAAGCTAGTAGGTGGCAAAGCCTAAGTAAACCCAGATAAATTTGACTCTAAAGCTTTTCTATTTTACCAGTAAAGTGACTGGGCCCTATACTTTAAGGAGTGTTAGTTGGTGGGGAAGGGGTCGTGGGGCACCAAGACCATTAGGGGCCTTGAAGGCTGTACAAAAAAGGTATACATACATGGTCCCTGACCACAGAGAGACAGGGTCCTTCATGGCTTATGCTAAAAGGAATGCACAAATGGTAGAGCATCCAAAACATGTTCTCATACTCAAAGCAGAAACTTCGGTATTATCCAAGACCTTCTTCAAATGCAGACCTGAATCAAAAAGCCAAGGCCTGCTAATACATGGAGAGGAAAAGTGAAAAGTCCATTCTCTTCCTTAGAACAATCTTGTAGTTTCAGTCAATCTCCTAAAAAAGGAACTCATGCCTATGAATTCCTGGAGAGACTTCCAAGTGAGCCAGATTGATTGAGAACCTCTGCAATCATGCCAGGAAGAACCAGAACTCTGACAAGCCATCTGAATAGCCCCATCTGTAGCTCAACTTGGTTTACACGAGGAGAAACTTATCCCCTCTCCCTATAACTACAGTTATGAATATACAACTCCATGTGTCACAGGTTTCAACAGGACCCAGTGGCTCACCAGCGCCCACAATGAATGACCTTTTTCTACCAGTTTCTACACAGAGAATGAATGGCTCAAGACCAAGTGTGGTTGGCCAAGGGTGGAAAGGAGCAAGCTAAACAATTGTTAAGCATGCCTAGTCACAGCTTTCACAACCTCAACTGCTAAACAATTTAGCCATAGCCTTATCTGAAACTTTCCAATGAGCCTGGTTAAAGCTATTAGGTTTCACCCAGTCATTTGTTTTGAATCATGAGCCCAGAGGCAGATGCAGGACAGCATAGAAGTCAAGAGAATGGACTGTGGAACCAGTCTAAGTTGAATAAATCCTGGCTGTGGCACTTTCTTGCTATGACTTTATGCAAGTTACTTAACGTTCCAGTGCCTCAGTTTTCCCATCTTCAAAATGGATGTACAATGGAAGTCCATAGTCTCCATCTGAAACTGAAAAACCAACTATGATTCAAAAATATTTGGATTTTGTAATGGTCTTAAGAGGGTACATATACTATATATTGCAAAACAACCCCAATGGGATGTGAAACAAATCAAACATGCCCATTATATCTGAATTTAAAATGTATGAAAAGTTCCCACCATGAGAAAAAAGTAAAGACAAAACTATCATAACTTCACTCACATTATTTCAGATCAAGTTTTGGTACCAAACTTATAAAAGCCAGGGGTGTTCTTTTTTTGATTTGGTTTGGGTTTTTTTGTTGGTTTGTTTTGAAATACAGGTAAGGGATCAGATCTCTAGCACTAACTGCCTTATGTGGTAAGAATTAAATGAGTTAACAGAGCAAGTGTTTAGAATGGTGCCTGGCATGTAGGAAGCACTATGTGTTATCAATAATAGCTTCTACTATTTTCATCTAATAGACTCAATAGAAAACTGTAATCAGGAAACTTTAAATTTATGATTAAATTTGGGTTGGAAACCAGTTCACCTTGCAGATTAACAAGCATTAATGCTTTAGAACAATTTTCTAGAGCAGGACTTTCTGAGATGATGTAAATGTTCTATATCTGCACTGCCCAGGCTGGTAGCCACTGATGTAGCTATTTTTGAACATTTGAAAAATGGCTAGTTAATTTCATTTATTTTAATGTATTTAAATTTAAATAGCCCTAGGTAGCCTGTGGCTACCATACTAAACAGTGCAGCTGCAGAGGGCTGAGTTTCCAATCTCACTCAGGAAAACCTATATAGGCCATAACACAGCTAAATTATAATTAAATAACATCAGGCCCATGTTCTACATGCAAGAACCAGAAAGGATCACAAGATCCTGGAGACAGTTTTGTCTTCCTCCCCAAGACCATGACTGGCCCATGGCAAAATGCATCTTTGATACCTTCTTCCTCTTTTTCTATTCCTTATCCCCCTAATCTCCAACTCTCCCCTTCTGAAGCCACTGATGGGGGTCACATGCTTCCCTAAACCCTATTAATTACCCAGCCCTCCTTCAGTGGCACCGTGCTACCTATGCACTTGCCTCCCCTCCACTCAAACTCCCACTTGCTCATTATCAAAGATCTCAACAAGATGTCAGGGGAAGAAAGCAACTTCATCAAACAAATTCACGCTCTCAGCTGTTTCCTCCTGCCCGCTCTGTCCTCTACCCTGAGTCTCCTTCTGAAACCAGAAGCTTTGAGCTTTTGTTGTTGTTCACAACAGAAGTAGCTCAGGCAGAGAGAGGAGGAGCCAGGACTGAAGCAGTAGTGTCCCACACAGGCTGCTTGTGGAAGGTAGGGACTGCCAACACACATATGTGCAGAACCACCTCACTCTACAAATCCATCCTCTTGCCCACTCATGGGAAACATCCCTTGCTTTCTGCTTAAAGACTCCTTACACCATGCTCAATCCTCTTCAATCTTCCTTTATTCATTTAGAAAATGATAAAAAACAATATACACATCAAATGAACTTTCTAAGTGTACAACAAAAGCCCAGAAAAATATGTAAGTACGAACAGTTGCAAACAGAAAAAGAAAAGCAACCACCTACACTGGAATCTAGCTTCACCACACACCACTTGAATATGGAATTTTTAATGACAGAAGTCAAATTTGGAGCACACCCAAAGAGCTTATGTTACCAGAAGGACTGGAAGAACATTCCCCAGTTCCATCTCACCTTTTACCTGGTCCCAACCCATGGACCGAAATGATCAGTGGGCATTCCTGGTATAAAGAAATTATCCCAAGGGGCTCTAAATGAACAACAATGCTAATGTAAATATTACACATTTGTCTAAATCCCTTCAATTATATTATTTATCTTCTTCAAAGTAGAGATTTATATTGTAGATCCAAAGTCTTAACATTTAATACTGGCCCACAATTATTTCTAGAGAGTCTTCTAAATGTGAGCATTGTGCCAAGAAAGTCAGAGTAAATGCCTTCAGCAGGAAAAATAAGACATCTACATAAATAATTCACATTGGAGGTAGACAGCAAAAAGGCCTCTGAGGTAAAATGCTACAGTAATCAGAGCAGGGGAAAGTTGGCTGCTGCAGACTGGTCAGCATTTAGAGTGGTAAAAGCCGGGCAGAGGCAACAAAGCAGAGAAAAGGGCGTTCTTCAGAAAAGTATTCTCCAAGATCTGGCTGCATACAATAACCTTAGGACAATCCCCCTCTCCCTGCACTGACAACCAGGCACCTGCACAAGTTCTTATGAGGTCATCTGCAACCAATTCCCAAAACAGGCTTTCAACAATTCTCCTTAGTGGGGTCCACCATTCTTGGCTTTGGCTGTATGCACTCTGTGGCATGGCACCACCCTACTCCTACAGGCATTTCCTAAAAGAAACTCATGCAAACACATGAAAACTGAAGACAGCTCACTGACCTACAGGCAAATTCAGTACAATGCAACTGAAATTTCAAACTGTGAGCAATTAAATTTTTGTATGAAGCGAATCCTACTTAGCATTCATTCAGGGAACTCAAGATTTAAAATTATAACAATAGGGTTATGGGGCCAGGGATTTAGCTCAGTGGTTCCGGTGCCTGCCTCGAAAGCCCAAGGTCCCTCAATGCCCGGTACCAAAACAAAAAACAAACAAAAAAAAAACCAATAGGGTTAGGGATGTAGATTACTGTAGACACTAGCATGGTGTGTCAGGCCCTGGGTTCAATCCCCTGTACTGGAAAATAAAAAATGACGCTGATTAATCAGTAAAGGATGAATTTTTCCTACACTGAATAATTGAGTCAATTAAAGCAAGTTTTTCATGGCTTAAGGCAAAAGAAAAAACAACAAAAACAATTCAACAAATTTACATTCTGCACATAACACTGGCTTTGACCAAGATAAACATAGGGTTTTAAGGAAGAGATATAGCCATTCTTCTAGCTACCAGTTAGAGTTGGGCCAGTCCAATACTGTGTTTTCTAGGACTTGTAGATACATCTCTCCAGCAACAATCTCTTGAGCACTTTCCTTGAAATACTGTTGTTGGGTTCCATCACAAAAAGAGCTTTTTTTCTTTTTTTTTACTGGCCATTTGCCTTGTAGGCAACATGAAGTGGTGACCTGAGGCAGATATCCAAAGGCGAGAGTGGTCACCTCCAGCCCCTGCGACGGCTGTCGTGCCTTCCCTGGGGATCAGTTGCCTCCGTTCTCCCTCGGGGGCGTGAGGACACTAATCCGCCAGGTACTGGGGCCAGGCTGCCGCCCATGACGCGTCTACAACGCTCAGAGACAGCCAGCCTCGCTCAGCCCTCCAGCCCTCGGGGACCGCGCTACAGAGCCGCCTCTGTACCTTTCATCTTCTGGCCAGCCGCGCCGGCGTCCCCGAGTGGAGCGCGTCCCTCTGGGACCTGCCGTCCGCGCGCCCGTCGCTAGCGGCGTCGAGAGTCCCGGCTACTGCGTGTCGGCAGCGGAGTCGAAGCCCAGGAGCGCGCGAGAAAACAGGCAAGTGCGCTGGGGCAGAGCCCAGGCACCCACTCCCGCCGCGCCTTCCCGCCCTGTGCTCGCCGAGCTGTGCAAGCCGCCCGCCCCGAGCGAGAAGGGCGGTGGCGTCGGCTGCAGCAGGGCCCCCGCCCTGGGCCGGGCTTTCCCAGAACCCGCCCGCCCCGGTGAAAGGCCGCGAGCGCCGCCGCGGGCCTTCGGGAGGCCGGGGGAGCGGCTTGTGGTGGGCCCGCCCCCGCGTCCGCACTACCGCCCGGGGAAGGCTGGAGCAGAGGGCGGACCCCGCCACCACCCCGCCCTGGCCGCTGGAGGCGCGACCCCAGCCCAGCCCCTGGCCGAGACGCCCCACAGCCATTCTTCGGGTCCGGGCCCAGGAGCGAGCCTGCGACAGCGCTGCGGGGTCTTCCTGCTCCAGGGAGGGCGGGAACCCTGCACACCTCAGTGGCGGGAATTTAATCTTACACTACCCCGCAAGGGACCCATCTCTGGTTGATAAATATAGAAAACTGACTGAGTTTCACAGGGGCTAAATGACTTGCCGAAGCCACTCTAGTAGACGGTAGCACCGTCTCAAATCCACTGTTGTTCATGTCGTTTCATTCGTAGTATGTATTGAGCTGTCCAAACTCTAGAGATACTCCTTTAGCTGCTAATGGTGACCATCCATGTATGTGAACTTTTAATTCCAGTGCTTTTTCATTGCTGAATCAAGTCGTGGTGTTCACAGCTGCCAGAACCACAGGCTCAGCAGAGCCTCCCTGGCCCCTAGGGTGGGGTTTTATATTCACTCTGAGAAGAGCCAGAGACTTGAAGAAAAATTAAATTCTTCTCCTCCCTTTCCCCTAAACTTGTGCCTCCTCTCTCTTTACCTGTTCTAATAAAATAGCCTTCCAAAGACTATGACCCTTCCACCTACATATAATCAGGACTAATGCCTGAGGGCTCCTCCCATCTGACCTCTCCCTTTGGCCAAAGCAAAGCTTCTCCCACAACTATGTTATTCTTTCTTTTGTACAAATGTAATTTTTGCAGAAATCTTCAGTGGCTCCCTATTGCCCTCCAAACTAACCTACCCACACCCTCCCATGACTGTAGGAACACTACATGCCCTGCCAATATCAACCACCCAACAGAATGTGTCTCCTCCAACTCTATGTGTATTTAGGCTTACCTGGAGCTTCACTGCTCCCATATTTTCCTCCTGTTAGGTTCTCCCCCTTTTTTTTCAGGTCCCTCTCAAAAGTGATCTCCTCTCTTTTGACCCTCCAGAGTACAGTGGATGCTGGAGCAAGAATATATAGAAGGACCAAAAATTTCTGCTCCTAAGAAAAATCAACCAGCTTGATCCTTATACTGTTTTACTGTTTTCTTACCACTAGGATTTTAATAAAAACTAACATTACTGCCTCTCTTAAGAACTAGTTTGGGAAGGCCTTTGCAGAGAGCTCAGGGGAAATTCTTTATTGAGAATTTTCGATTTTAACATTAAAACAGTGGGAAGTGGTCATTTACCCCTGAGTCTACACTGCCCTTAACACGTGAGTGGAGGGGCCAGCAAAAAGCATCACTGAAAATAACAAGATGAACTATTTAACATACATTATTATGTTATGATCTATAATTCATTCAGTGAAGCCTGTAATATCAAACATCATCAATCACCTGGAGCCCCCAGAGTGGTATGATAGAGTTTTTGACTTTTATGAAATTTAACACAGGAAATAGATTGCTATGAACTAGTGGATGCACAAGCAGTTAACATTAAATCCTCCAAATGAGTCATTGCAACATTAGGAACCAAGGCAAATCTTAGGTCCACTGAACAAGAAAGCTTCTGAGTGTGCGAATCAACATGCCCTCATCCCTGAAAAGGGGCACCTTCCTCAAATCTTTGCAAAAAGAGCAGGTCCAGATCAGTGTCCTTTGCTTGCCCCCTCCCTCTCTCTCTCTAAATGAGACTGGAGGGAGCCCTGTCCCTGAGGCTGCCTCACCACTTTGGAATGTCTGAGCTAACAGTGCTTCCAGAGGGTTCATTGCTCCTCTGAACAGCACTGCCCAGACTTTCTGAAGATTTTAATTCACTCCCCAACCTTGCCAACAGTTGCATACAAGGTGCCTTTTTTACGCCCTGGTCTCTGTTCAGTGAAACATGCAGACCATCTCAGGGGCACAATGGCTCCATTCAAAACATTTTCAAAAGTGTAGCATATAACCTCCATGCTGTGGGTTGCTGTCAGCCATTATCTAGAGGAATAAAGAAAAAAAGACTGTCAGATAAATTGCCTGAAAATGGGGGAGCACTGGACAATTTCCATGGAAAATTCAGTTTAGTAAACTAATTATGCACATCTGTATTCAACACCATTCTGCATAATAAACAACAACAACAACATCAACAAAAAACAATACTGCGGGAATTTCATTTAATGGTATATCATGTTTGAAATTTCAGAAGAAATCACCCATCTCTTTTGGACTTGTTACATAATGGTCTCCATTCAGTGGAAACTGCTTAAGTGATAAATGCTTTGCTTAGGAAATTTGGGTGGAAAAATCATTTTAAGAAAAGAAACTTGCTGCCTGCCCTGCAAACGCAAGGACCTGAGTTCGAGCCACGGTACCAAAAAAAAAAAAAAAGAAAGAAAGAAAAGAAATGGAACCATCTCTCTTCTTTCTTTTGGTCTTCCTCATCCTGTAATTTTCAGATTAGGGAGGGGGTGGTCTCTGACTTCATGGTTTTGGCTGCCAACTGGAGGCCCCACACCCTCTATTGAACATACTACAGAAAAAAAGATTGGCCCATTGCCACACTCAAGGAGCCAGCCATCAGTTAACCCATGTATAAACAAACCCTGAGACTGGGAACTGAGTAGTCAGTAAAGGCACCATTGACTAATACATTGGTCTTTGTTAAACAGTTGCTAATTGCTAAGCAGAGGAATTTGTGACATACAAAGGCTTAGGAGGGAAGATCAAGCCATTCCCAGCTTTAGGCGGCACTATTTTCTCCCTTTCGAAGTCAGTGCATCAGCTTGTACAGGGCTTACAAACACAGTGAGTACAGACACAGGAGAAGCAAAAACAAGCTTTCCCAGCTTGGCAAGGAGGAACATGCCTGTAATCCCAGCGCTGGGGAGGCTGAGGCAAAGAGGATCGCTGCAAGTTCCAGGCCAGCCTGGGCTACATAATGAGTTCAAGGCCAGCCTGAACTATGTAGCAAGACCCTGTCTTAAAAAAAAAAAAAACAGTAAAAACTTTCCAGAGTTATGTGCACTTAGGAAGAAGTAAGGCAGTTCTAGTTGTTTCACTGACTCTCCAACTGGAACCTCAAAGCTGATTAGTTCCACAAGCCCCCAACAAATCCCTTTCTTGAATTTCTCTGCCACTTCTTCATGAATACTAGCATGTCGCTGCTGCTGACATTCTCAAAATCTTTCATTAATAATTACCAACCTAAGAATATACTCAAGAATTCCTTCTATCAGATACCAGTAATGGTAATGATAACAGCAGCCATCATTGAGTGCTAACCATTGTACCATTTGTGTATTTATTCATTCAAGAATGAAGCATTGAACACCTACCATCTGCCAAGCATTGGTCTAGGTACCAGGGATAGAGCAGTGAATGGTCAACAAAGTATGTGCCCTCGTGGTACTGAATACCAGGCAGGAGTAGACAGACAATAAAATATGTAAAAAAGTAAAGCAGACACCATAGTAGAAGAGGGTAAATGCTTCTCATTGATTCCAATATAATATGTCCCTTTTCCACTTAAACCAGCTAAAATTGTTTTTGTGATTTGCAACCAAGAAGTCTACCTTTGAAAGATTAGAGAAGAAAAACAATATTTCTAAATAATTTCATAGGCTAAAAAAATTATAACATAAATTGAGATATTTAGAACTGGAAGACAATTTAAAAAAACAACAGACATACCAAAAAATGCTGACTATAACTAGCAATACTGAAGACAAATTTATATAACTTTCTAGTAAATATATTTGTTAGAAAAAAAGATTTACAATGAATTGCTTAAGTGCGCAATACATATATATAGTCAAATATATGTATAGTTTTATATATATTTATATATATATATAATTTTCAGTTCCTTGATTAAGATTATTTAAAGACAAACACATAATTTGGTCATAGTAATGCATTTTATATTTACTGACAGATAATGCCAAATAAAGTTTTAAGTATTTGACATGAATTCACTCACTTAATTCTCAAAACAAATCTATGAAATAATGCTGTTATAATTTCTGTTTGCACAAATCAAAGCTGAGGCACAGAAGTATATTTTGCCTGCACTGGTTCATGTATAATTACAAAATAATTCAGGTAGTCTGACTTCATAGTACCTATTCTCCACTATTAGGCTAAAGAGGGTGGACATAATGAGTTAAGTACAGCGAAAAAAAATCACAGGAGAACAATATGAGAAACTGTATGACATTAATTTTTAAAAGATGTGGAAAGGACAGTTTTAAATTTGATTTTTTAACAAATTTATTTATTAATAATTTACCACAGGTGGTGTGAATCTTTCAACTGTGTTATATTTCAAGATTATTTTGGCTAATCTGGATCCCTTGCATTTCCATCTAAATTTTAAGATCAGTTTGTCAATTTCTGAAAAAAAAAGGCAGTTGGGATTTTGATACAGATTTTGTTAGCTGCAGGTTAGTTTAATCAATTTGTGTTTGTAGGTCAAAGAACATGGAAAAGGTTTTTTTTTTAATGTAAAAAGTAAATTTCTCTTTCATTATCCTTTATTAACCACTTCCCTGACCCAGACATAAACACTCAGGTATTGTCTCAGGGTTGTTCCACATATTCGAATATTTCATACCCTCTCAGTTTTTAAAACATTAATCACCTGCTATTAGCATGTACTTTGGCTTTTTCATGTAGTAGTGTATCTTAACAATTTTCCAATGACGATATGCCCTTTATTTTTTTTCCTTAAATTCTTTTATTGGTACATTTCAGGTATACAATGCATTTAC